TGACATTTCTACACTGTTTTGCCGCTGAAGCAATACTGATGGATTCGCCTTTCTCGCCAGACGTACCTATACTATATCAAAACTCATTCATCATGAAGTTAACAATTAAACAGACAAAAATTTGCCGTTATTTGAAGCCCATCCTTTAACACTGCACTTCAGAACTCCCAAGGAATGGGTTGAGTTGTTTTCGCGCTACAACTCTGGCACCTACAACAATCAGTGGACAGTGGTTGACTACAAGCAATTCAAACCAGGACAGGAGATCCCAGACAAGGACATGCTTTGGATTCTCGAGCAAACTCCGTAGGTTATCTTTCGGAACTTCTACTCCCTCTTCCACAGCTCAATATTCCATCATTTTCCTGTGCCTTGTTTCTGAATTGTGCCATGCTTTACGACCTATGTACGCCTACGTCTTGAAATTGGATGTGTTTACGATTAGCTTTGCCAGCGGATCAATCAAAACCCAAGATGTCACATGGTTCCTCAAGAAATACTCTTACTGGCCATCTTACAATGTGCCCTTCATCAAGGACATCAGCATAGAAGCAGGATTCAGCGAGAAGGTTGGGTAGCTCTCCTATTTCTGCTTTGCTTTTGTTTGAGGCTAAATTATGATTACTTTAGGCTAGAGAATTTGATTGGTACAAATGGGGATCAACTCCGCGGGCGAGAATTTTCGAAAGAGATCATCATAAAGTGCAGGATATGGACTCACTGACGAAGCTGATGAGGTAAGAACAAGAGCAGAATCCAAATAATTGTAGACGTTATTTTTTAATCTCGGTGAGTAAACCTTGAGCGGGATGACTACTACTATCGAAAAGTTAAAGGCAAAGTTCGGGCTCAGACCCACCTAATAAGCCCTTAAAGTGGCTAGAAGTGCATGGGACGCAACTGCAGGCGACTCGCCAAGTTCCCGCATCGAAATGCGTCACTAAGGCGCTAGGGGCCAAGGACTTTGACACGCTCCACCTGTTGCGACACGCTCCGCCCACCGCTCGATATCTTGTCTGCGTCGCAATGTTGATCTGCTATGCTCTCTCTTCTCGGACTTCTCTACCGCTCTCCGCGCTCACATTATCTCTCATCCTTTTGAACTTCTCCGCAACGTAGAGCAAAAGGCTCGTATTTCCTGTGTATTTCACGATTTTTTTCCTTTTTTCTCCACTGGCGGTCCACCTCCCACCCCTACATCACATTTGAGTAGAATTACCTCATCAGTTTAAGCTTGAATCTTGCCTTTAAAGTCTGAGTAGTTGAAGGGAAGTAGACCATGTGGAAACTGTCGCTCGAAAATGCTCAGCAAGGTGATGCTGCTGAGAAAATGCAATGAACTAAAAACATTTTCAAAAGCTAATAGCATTTTCTAAGGTTGTTGGTGGAACTGCATGAGTTGCAATAGGTCACCGTGCGACAAGTGGATCGGCGTATGTGCTGAGCTTGGAATACGTGGTAAGGTAGATAGTGTGCTCGAAGACGAAAGCGAAGGACAAGTAAAGAGGCGTAGCTCGGATCAGTTGGTGTGCACGAGACATGTCCATGTGTGCACTGTCGCACGTTGGCCTCTTGCTAGTACACGCCCGATTGAACCCATCTGCAATGCAGTAACAAAGGGAAAGAGAAAGCTAAGACTCTGGAAAGGTGAGCTTTGGTTGCCGCACTCGGAAAACTGCTCCGCTCGACGTAGAAAAATTCAGGGGTAGTTATCAAAACCGTTGTTTATCATAAACGCAATACCATAGGCTCCAGATGGGTGCCAATCGAGGCATGGAAGGCGCTCGGAGAGTACGGGATAGATGGCTCACCCGCTTCCTGAACACGGTAACTGCCGAAGGAAGGATGCCGGATGCCTGGAGAACAAGTACTATCGTCCCCATCTTCAAGCAGAAGGGTGACGCGATGGACTGCTCCAACTACCGCGGGATCAAGTTGACTGCGCATACCATGAAGTTGTACGAGCGACTGGTCGACTCGAAACTGGGGGA